ATGTAAACTCAGGCAACTGAAGAACATAGATAGTAATGTTTCATTTCATTCTGATTCTCATTGTATTGTATGCCCTCAAGCAAAACAGAAGAGGCTTCCCTTTCCTACCAGTACAAGTACAACTAAGAGTGCTTTTGACATCATACATGTTGATATATGGGGCAATGCTCCTGTTAAATCCTTTTAAGGTCATTCCTACTTTCTCACGATAGTTGATGACTTCACTAGACACACTTGGATTTTCACAATGAAAAACAAGTCATAAGCTCTACCAATAATCATCTCATTTTTTGCTTTTCTAGAAACACAGTTTCATTCCCAAATCAAAGTCATTAGAACAGACAATGGTCTTGAATTTCATATTCCAGAATTTTACAATTCCAAAGGAACAAGTTGCCAAAGGCTACACCCAAACACCTGGAGTCGATTATTTAGACACTTTTTCTCCTGTTGTTAAGATGACAACAGTTAGAATTCTTCTAGCCTTGGCTGCAATATATAACTGGCATCTAGAACAGCTAGATGTTAACACAACTTTTCTTCATGGAGACCTTCATGAAGAGGTCTACATGAAGTTACCTCCTGGATTAAAAGTGAATCCTGCTTATCAAAATAGAGTTTGAAAACTTACCAAATCCCTTTATGGTTTAAAACAAGCCAGCCGACAATGGTTTGAAAAGCTTGCTGCTACTTTAGAACAACTAGGTTATTAAAAATCACATAGTGATTACTCACTTTTTAATAAACATAGTGGTACTTCATTCACTGCTTTTCTAGTCTATGTTGATGACATAATCCTAACAGGCAATGATATGCCAGAAATCAAACATGTCAAGCATCAGTTGGATGTTGCTTTCACTATTAAAGACCTTGGACCCTTGAAATACTTCTTAGGGATGGAGGTTTCCAGGTCTGAAACAGGTATTCACTTGTGTCCAAGGATGTATATTCTTGACCTCCTTTCTGACACAGGATTCCTAGGTTCTAAGCCAGCTACTACTCCATCAATTCCTGCAACACACCTTTCTGCAAATGATGGAACTTTACTCAATGCAACTTATCATAGTAGTTACATGACACTGATTGGTAGATTCCAATATCTATGCAATACTCGTCCTGATATATGCTATACAGTAAATCAATTAAGCCAATATGTTGATTCTCCCACTACAGTTCATGAACTGGCTACTCATCGACTTCTTGGCTACCTAAAAACAACAACAGCAAAAGGGCTTTTCTTTCCCATCAATTCTTCTATTCGTCTCACAGCTTTTTCTGATTTAGACTGGGCTGGTTGCCCTGACACACGACGATCAGTAACTGGATTTTGTATTTTCCTAGGTAACTCACTCATCAGTTAGCGGTCCAAAAAGCAGCAAACTGTCTCCCGCTCGTCCGCTGAAGCAGAGTACAGGGCACTCGCCGATACCTCCCAAGAACTCCAATGGATGACAGCCCTCTTTCGCCAGCTTCCAGCTCAACCTCAGCAGCCATACACGATCTACTGCGACAGCCTCTCTGCAGTCAAGATGACACAAAACCCTGTTCAACACGAATGAACCAAGCACATTGAACTCGATTGTCACTTTATCAGAGACCAGGTTCTTGCAAACAAATTGAAGGTTCAGCATATCTCCACTACCTTGCAGCTGGTCGATCCCTTCACCAAAGCGCTTCTTGTTCACACCTTCGTTGAATTGATTTCCAAGCTCAACCTGAAAGCAATCCACGTTTAGCTTGAGGGGGGGGGGGGTTCAAGGATACGAAGGGTCGATTTGTAGTAAATTCAAATGTATATACTTAGATAGAATAGGTACTAATATGTAAATTAGTCAGTCAGTTAGGACCGGTAACTGATTTTCCCTCCTTTTCTCTCTCTTCTCCTTCTCTGTAATCTAGGTATAAAATCAGCTAACTCAGCTGGATAATGTACGTTTTCAGTCGATCAATCGAAAAATCAAGTTTCCCTTCAATAAACTAGCACGTAATCTTATTGCTATCAAATTTCATTGTGCCAAGTCGCCTTAGAGAACAAGGGTTGGAAGTTATGGTAATTCTGTGGGATGTTCAATTTGGAAACGTATCAAGAATGAGGAAGCAACCTTCTGGAATTATGCATGTTTGGATCCAAGTGGAGGTGCATGGATCTCTTTTTGGTTCGACAAGTGGATTCCATCTGGTCTGCTGGCTTATAAGTTTTCGAGATTCGTTGTTGCTGCGGTCTGCCCGGATAGTTGCATCTATGACTGTTACCAGGTTCGTAATATTGGTGAGAGGTGGGAAATTCCATTACCTATAACTTTGCGGGGTGGGGCTGAGCGAGAGAATCGAACTACTAAATGTGTTAAACCATTTACCTGAAACTGTTTTAACTAACATACCTTGTCGACTAGTGTGGTTGCCGATGTCCCTGGCATCTTTTCTGTTAATTCTATGTTCAGGTGTTTGGCTGAAGAAAGATTCCTGGTTGACAATACGTTTCCCTTAAAGAAGATATGGAGGCACGAGATAATGCTGTAATTTTGTAAATTTATGTGGCTTGCTTTTCATAGGAGCATTTTGATGCACGACAACCTGAAGCGAAGAGGATGGAACCTTCCAAGTCGTTGTAGTCTTTGGATCAACAATGAAGAAACTGTGGATCACTTACTCATTCATTGGCCATATTCTTAGGAAGTTTGGCGGCAGGTTGGCGTTGCGATTTTTTTGTGCAATATGCAGCTTACTAGAAATGATTTCTTTGTACAATATGCAGCTTATTGGATTCTTTGGATGAAATGATTATATCTGTCATTACTAGAAAAACTTGTTACATTTGTCATAATAGTCAAAGTTATAGATATGTAGGTGTATTTTGCCAAAACTTGGTAATCAATGTTAAGAATAGTCTTAGGTCCATTATCAGTTGATCAAACTCATCTAGCAATGGAAAACCAAAAAAATCATCAATATGATCAACTTCACTAGCCCAAAGAAGACGAAAAGACTATAAGCCCATGATGGGGGAGATGACCATGAACTTTGTAACACCATGAAACCTAGTCACCCAGGTGTTTGAAGATCGAGATTCCTCCAAGGGGGAAGAAGTGATGGACAAGATAGGGGGTGCTGAACCTACTAGTGAGGCTCATAAGAGAAGCGAAGGTACTAAAGAAGGAAAGAAGTAGTGCACCGAGTGCATTGTCAACTGTAAGGGAAAGGACACACACTGTACAAAAATCGAATGCACTTGACTATGTAGGAGCATCGGTGGCATCGGTCATATGCTTGGGGATGAGGAAACCATTGGCTAGAAGCATCCAAATTAGGCTAGGGGCAACAAGATACCACCACCTCAATGTTATGATGGAACAACATACCTAGAAAATCACTTGAATAGTCACTTCACCAAGATTCATATCTATAGTAGCTCTGATACCATGTTCTATCGGGCATTTCCCTCTGCCCTTCACTAGTGTCGTCGCTCGGTTACAAACTACGTCCGAACGAGATTCAACCTCATATTCTGTTTTCTTCCCCAATTGAAACAATTTTGAATCTCGTTCATCCAAGCATTGTAATCCAAAGTTGGTTTCGGTCAGCTGGAAAAGTAACCAACCACACATGTAGAGGTGCCGCGCAACGACAAGAGAGTTGGTGCGATGAGTGGTAGTTTTTGTCCTCCGAAGACATGCTGAAGGAGGATGGATGTAATCCAGGTGATGTCTCAAATGGGTTCAAGGGCAACAGGACAAGCTCCAACACATTTTTGTGGTCGACGAGTTCAGAGTTTGGTAAAAAGGGGTTGACACCTGAAGAGGGGGAGAAGGAGTTGTTTGCAATGTAGTCAAAATCGCGCTTTAAAACTTAAGAACTTACGATTTTACGTTTCTAGGTCACTAAAACGTTTCTACACAAAATCTAAGTTTTTATAACTTATGTAGTTAAAAACTCCGCTTTAAAACTTTAAACTTACGATTTTACGCTTCTAGATCACCAAAACGTTTCTATGTAGAAACTCGTTTTTTACTACATTGGTTGTTTGAGAGAAGGGTGTAATAATGATTTTAGGAACAAACAAACTAGAATAAATAAACCCTCGTTAAAAAAAAAAAAATAGCTCCCTCGTCATCTCACCCTTTTCCACTATCTAAAACATTTTGTCTCTTTCCTTCTCTTTTTCCCATTCATTTTAAAAATGACATAGGAATCAGTAAGCGAAATAGCTTCACCTCGATTCGAGGGAAAAGCCGATGGTAGTATGCCTTAAGCAGGTAGGCTTTGCTTCATGCAGAGTCATCTCTTCTGAAAGAAGAGGCCATTTGCCATCGGGATTTCCAATTTCATGCTCTGATTCTCCAGGTTCTCTAGTACTAGCCGATTGCTCTACCGACTCAGTGCTAGTAGCTAGAGCTCTCTTGTTCCTCTACTGCGGTGAAGGTAAATGAATCATACAATAAATATTATTTGCATCGAAGCCTATGCTTCAGGGGGACAAACTTATATGGTATGCTTTATAAGCTTTATGGTAATTGTGGCCTGGTTTGTGACTTTTGTGGTGTGGTGTGGTGAGGTCCTAATAGCTGTATAAGTTTTATGTTATGTTTATTAAACTTCTAGTATCCTTTATGAGACTTGTGGTCTGTTTTAGAGAACTTGTGGATGCTTTAAGAAACTTGTAGTGTGCTTTATAACACTTGTGGTCAACTTACTTGTGGTGTGTTTCATGAGACTTGTGATATGCTTTTATAGGCTTATGGTGTAATGTATATGTGGTCTCATTTCTAAAGTTTTGTGGTCTGAATTTCGTGATGTGGTTTCTTCTATTTGTGGTATGGAGTTTGTGGTCCCCAGTCCTCAATTAATAAACAGGACATGCTGGTCCCCTCCTCCCCTAATTTCTCATAATTCTAAGCGTGTCCCTCAACTCCTTCCTCTCATCAGTTATTCGAATAAAATGTTCCTAATTGCGTACTTGATTGTCATCCCTAATTAGCACCCTTAATCCCAACCCTTCGAACTTCTTTAACTTTCCACAAGGACTTTATCTCATCCATATCCAATATCAATTAAGCATTTCTTAAAACATTAAGTCATCGGACCAGGCTACCCACCGAACACAAGATTCTGACCAATAGCTTTTACATGAAATTGGACCCTGTTTGACTGAGGAAATAATAAAAAGAATTGGCCTTTAAAAGAGTCGCCTCGACATTTTGACTATCCTACTCCGACAAACGGTTTTGAATTCGGTCTAGTAAATATAACAATGGGTGTTAGTTCACAGAACTTTTGTTGGAAGAATCCAAAGCAAGCTTCTCAAAGTCTATTTGAGCGCCCTGAGCGGAGGCTTTCTTCATCTCGAGGGCTCTCTTATAAGGAGGGGCAATAGGAGGCTGAACTGGATTCAAGCTCTGGTAAACCCCTTCTGAGTTTCTGGGAAGAGGATAAGATCGGTCCGAGTCGTAGCCGCTAAGGTCTCCACACGCTAGGAACGGGATGTAGACCTTGTTCGGCCCTTCTAGCCACCCGCTACTGCAATCTGCAGGCCAATTTTTTACTTAACAATGAAGAAAGATAACGACGACAACAAGAAGAAAGCCTAAAACCAGAGCATGCTATTACTAGTGGACAAACAAATAGTATGCGACATGTACTGAGGGGAGAAAGCTAGTGACCAAACTTTGAAATGCTTTGTCTCATTTGAACAATAATGCAATCACGGGTATGTAACACGTTTTGTCCATTGGAGTTTCCAATTCAGAAAGAAGAAGCAGCTGCTAGTAAGTAAGACAAACAGGAGAGGGCAGTGAGCTGGTCTATTAGATTAGACCTCAAATTTTCATACAGTATTCTCTGATAAAGTGCGCACCTTTCCGGAATTGGAATTACTGATCCCATTCCCAGGTTTCTTTCAGTCTCACTGATTAAGGGGGTGACCAAGTAAAGGTTTCGATAACTTGACAAGTAATGCAATCATCCGCATTTTAGAAAATTATAAACGCCATACCATAAACCTAGGGAGATAGAATCAATTTGAGTCTGTGGCGCACCCTGCTAAGCTTTGTACTTAAGTTGCCGATTGAAAAAATTTGAATGGATGGTGTGTAATGCACTAAACCAAAAATTCCAAGGTTACACATTAAGGTTTAAAGAAATCATAGAAAACAATAAAATCATGTACGACTTACCAAGATCATCTGCACCGGAGGGGCTCCCGACCTTTTCGAGGAGGCGGTGCAAGTCTCTTGGATTGAAACCCTCTGGAGGGGAATAATTCTCACAAACTGCAAATGCCTCTGCATAGGGAGTCATGTTTGATATTAGCTTTACGAGTCATGAGTTATCTAATCATTACCTAGGATATGGTTCTTCTGTCCAGTGTTGATATTATTATTGTGTATATCATAAAGCAGCAAACTTTATGATAAGAGAGACAATTGGGCCATCATTACACTCCACAACCATTTCAGTTCCCATGTATCTCTTGAAATTAGTGACTACATACTAAAACGCAGAAGCTAAATGAGAAAGGAAAAAGGAGGTAACTCTTACCTATGCTAGAATTACGGCTGCTCTTTGGTTTAGCAAAAGTGACAAGTGGGAAAAATAACTTAAGCTGCGAAAAGATAATGGCAAGCGTATTATTACCCCATAACATTCAATTCAATCAGGTTTAACGGACCCTAAAATTATGGATATGGTGTTGGAATGGGGCTCACAAGCATATCCTGAAGTGAGGAAATTTGGAAAAGCATCACCTTACCTGGCAGTAGAGAAGACTTGTATCCTTGCCACGGAAAATTTTAGCAATGAATTTACCACCTTCTCTAAGAATGTGCGTAACAATGGTCAACCCCTGCAAAAGTGTCCATCTACATTAGCAAACATAAATCTTCAGCAAGTTCACCAGCAAAACCACGGAAAGATTGCCAATCAAAAGGAGAGGCGAAATAACATATGGTGACATGCTGCTATCAGCAGTATGACCTTCAGAATTTTCCAAATAAGGAGTGATCAGCATGTTTAATTTGCATAAACTTATAGTGGTAGTTCTGTTCAGAAAGAGACCATTTCACCCTCTTACCGCTAGTATGAGCTGGGACTGAACAAACTCATCCATGTCATGAAGACCAGTAACTGGAGATGAACACAAAGAAAGAAAGCGTGAGATGTGTAATCCATATCCCAAACCAACTCTTTATTGGGAATGTTAAATACGAAAACTAAAATAAAGGGCCAATGAAGTTGGTTTACCATCAGGGGCACCATCACAAACCACGAGGTCAGCCTTGCAGCCATCAAAATGCCAAATGACCTGTAAAAGTGAACAAGAAGATAAATAATCAGCTCATCATGTTAGCAGTTCTTCTACAGGTACAATAGGGTAGATTGCAATCAAGGCAATTCAACTGAATAATCAGAATATGTGGTATATGTAATGATACTCACAACTTCAGCTGTCCGAGCATTAGTAATATCACCCTGCACCTGAATAACACCTTCAATTGGAGCCATGGGTTGAAGGTCAATGGCCACAATAAGAGGAGGATCCTCATCGCTGCAAAAAACATGAAATATCATATGTTCATGCTAATAGCATAATGTGCATGAATACCTCCATATTCACAAATCGGGCAAGCTTTATTTCAGAGTAGAAACATGATGTAGATTCAACATGAGTTTTATAATGCGGTTGCAACTCATCTTCACTGTATCACACTGGGACTAGCATCCCTATTCATTAGAAAACATCAACTTGAACTGACTATAAAACAAGATTCCCTCAACTTGCTACAAGCATATCCCAAGATTAGCAAGTAAAAAGTACTTACTTTGAATCCTGTGAAAGCTTTGCTGGAAGATAAAGTTTACGACTCAAAACCTGCAGATGACATATGATCCTCAAAATCCAGTTCAAAGCCAGACGGGGTACAACAATAAAGGTCTTCGACACTACAAAACTACAAACCATTGGACTAACCACAACTATACCTCAAACTAGTTAAATACCGAATCAACTGAAGTCCGTTGAACATTGAGATACCGGCAATATGTTACTTATATCTCAGCAAGATGCCAATAAAATGGAAGGAAGATAAAGCAATCACAAAAAGAAAACGCTATTGGTCCAGCTCATCAACATAGCTATACGAGTATGCATATACTCTTTCATTGCCGAGAACTTCATGGAAGTACAGGAATTGTGTATACAAATGCATTACCTGACTCCAGCTACCAGGAGCTGCGCATAAATCCACCACACGCTTCACCCCTGCCAATCAGACAGGTAAAGTACCAGCCAAGGCAACAGAGATTCATGAGCATAGCGTTAAGAGCTTGAACAGACCGAGAAATTTCAGACACACCTTCGAAAATGTTGAATTCCTCGTCAATCTGAAGGAGCTTGAAGGCACTTCGAGCTCGCCAGCCCTCTTCTTTGGCCTTTCTATAGTAGATATCCTAAGAGTCCACTAGATTCATCACCATATGTAGCTCTATAAAAGCGAATGAAGGCTGGAACTTGAAGAGATACAGAAGCTTACCCGCTTATCCCTGGAAGCTTTCCCCATGATTTACAAATCCTTAACAACTTTTCCGGAGACAAAAGCAAACTCCTAATGACAGAGGCGATTCTGAACTGGCAGCGTTTCAGCTATGATGAATATTCGATTGCCTGTGAAACTAGGACCCGTTGAATCGGCTGGTCAGCGAACCAGAATGACGGCGATGGCGTCGTGGTATATGAAAAGATCGACCCCTTAATAACTTTCCGTTGACACCTTTCCAGTCTTACTAGTTACTACCTTCTGCTTCTAGCTTTCTCTAAGGTTCATAAATAAGCAGGGGAAATAGAGAGGGGAAAGCAAGGATAATGGATTCATAGGATTAGGGGAGTAACTTACCAAGACGCAGAGCTGAGGTGGCTGCTTGGAACAAAGACGAGGCGGCGCCTGCTAGGAAGAAACGCGACAACAGCTGCTGCAACAGAAAGCTTCGACAGGCGGCGGCTCGTTTGGAATGGAGGATTTCGTTCACCCCGGTGATGGAGGGTTGCAGAGAACAAAAATCTAAAGGGAAAGGGGAGGGGAGAAATTACCCTTCTGGGTTTTTTTTTTTTTTTTTTCAAAAGATATCATATATTGATCAAACGAAATAGATAGTTACATCCTGGAAATCAGCCACCCCCGGAAATCAAAGAAGCGACTATAGTCGGATATAAAGAGAGGGCTTTTCTAGCTACCGAATGAGCTACCCTATTGTTCTCCCGACCTACAAATTTTACACTAAACTCAGGCTGGGTGCGAAAATAATGACCTATCTCTTCCAAGACAGCACCCACCTGGTTATCCCTTGTGTCGCCTGATTAATTTTATCAATAATCACCTTCGCATCGCCCTCGAACCGGACCTCCGACAAGCCACACTCCAAACACCAAACAATAGCCTCCCGCAGCACAAGCAATTCCACCACTGCATGCTCATCCATATAAGGAAACTGAACCCCTCTTGCCAGAAGGAGCGTCCGCGCCGGGGTAATAATAACCATCCCTCCAGCCGAATGGGACCCACTCCTAGTGGCCCCATCCCACATGCAAACCAACCGTGAATCATCCACAAGAGACTCAGGCTGGACCAAAGGAATTGTCATCCTAGGAGCCAGGTCCGTTGGCAAGCACACTCATTCCTCATACTGTTGGTTAAACTGACGCATGAGCGCAGGGATCCCAAACTGTTTGCCTTTAAAGACAACCTAGTTACGAGATCGCCAGATTCGCCAAAGGATGACAACAACAGCCATAACCAACGACGGTTGATGGATCAATGCTAGCAGGCGTTTGAGAAATAACGGAAAGGTGTGCCGAGGCAAACCCTCTCCCAAGTATTCCAGTCCCGAATAGTCCCAAAGAGCCCGCACAACCGGACAATAAATAAATAGATGTTCCATCGTTTTCGGGCTATCCCAACAAACTGGACACAGGGGAAACACAAGAACCTTTTTCTCTCTAAGCGCCTCAGTAGTTGGAAGAGCCCGATTAAGAATTAGCCACACAAAGACCTTTCAGCTTCGGGGGGGATCTTAGCTTCCCACACCTTGATCCAACTTGGCTTATCCATCCAACTAACCGAGGATCTCTACCCACCCCTTCTCCTGTCCATCTCAACAGCCAAATGGTAAGCCGACTTAACCGAAAAAACCCCATCGGCCGTGTTATGCCAGATAAGCTTATCAGCCACATTCCTCCGCGGAAGTGGAATAGCCTTAATGGCACTGCAAGTAGGCGGGTCAAACCATTGACTAAGCTTATCATCAGACCACCACCCTTCCCCTTCACATATAACCTCCGCCACCAAGGGATCACCGCCATCTGGCAAGATCAACGGGTTGTAGCAGGGGGGATCAAGCTGGCACCCAGGAATCCAGCTAGAGTGAAGAAGAAAGGCTGATTGGCCATTGTCAATCTGCCATTTTAAACCCATCTCCAAAAGCTGTCGACCATAAAGGATACTCCGCCACTCCCATGATGGGCGTGATCTAGCCGTCGCGTTGAGGAATGAACCTTGCGGGAAATACTTTCCTTTATAAACCTGGGCGAGGAGGGACTGAGGTTCATTGAGAATTCGCCAGCCAATTTTAGCTAAAAGAGCTTGGTTAAAAAGTTCAAACTGGCGAAATCCCATCCCCCATCATGTTTACTCCTACACATATTGCGCCAGGACACCCATCTAACCTTGGGCTGGCCCTCATCAGAACCCCACCAGAAACGGGCCACATGTCTATCTAACAGGCGACACAGAGAGAGGGGAAGCCGGAAGCAGACATAACATGTAGGGGAAGGGCCATCGCTATGGATTTAATCAAAGTTTCCTTAGCCGCCCAGGACAACGTCCATTGCTTCCACCCCTGCAGTCTCTCTATTAATTTCTCCTCCAAATATCTGAACGTAGCCATTTTGGATCTGGCAACCAGCGTGGGTAACCCCAGATATTTATCATGGACCCCCACTGCACCAACCCCCAGGATCGTGGCCAAGAAGTCCTAATCTAGAAGGGTAATATTTTTACTAAAGCACACCGCATATTTCTCCAGATTAACTCGTTGGCCACTCAGCTTCTCATATTCATTCAACACCTCTATTAAATTTTCGCACTCCAGAAGAGAACCTTGAAGGAATAAATAAGAATCATCCGCAAAGAACAAATGAGAGATTCTTGGAGCACGAGGAGCTACTTTTACCCCTTCTAGTTTCTTCTCAGATATCGCCTTCCGGAGAAGGGCTGCAAACCCTTACGTGCAAAGCACAAACAAGAGAGGAGAAAGCGGATCCCCCTGACGGAGCCCCCTAGAGGCAGAGAAGTAACCCGAGGGCGTACCATTCATCAGAACCGAGAAGGACGAGGAGCGAAGACATTCATGTATCCATCCTTGCCAGACTGAGTTAAAACCCATCTTATCCAAAACCGCCAGAAGAAAGGGCCATTCGACTCTATCACAGGCCTTTTCCATGTCAACCTTCAGAGCCATGTACCCCTTCTTTCCTTGCTTTTTTATTTTTAGATAATGCATTAACTCATGTCCTATGAGGATGTTATCAATAATCTGTCGGTCTCTTATAAACGCATTCTAAACCTCCGAGACGATTTGAGGGAGCAGACTAGCAAGCCTTTCTGCCATAATTTTGGTTATCACTTTGTATACAAATTGACAGAGGCTGATCAGACGTAACTGTCTGATTGTTTCTACAGAATCCACTTTAGGAATCAAAGTGAGACAGGTATGTTTAAAACTTCGCAACATCCGACTAGTAGTAAAGAAGGAGACTACTACTTCAACCACTGAAGTGCCCACAATGTCCCAGAAAGCTTTGAAGAATTTTCATGTGAACCCGTCCGATCCCGGGGTTTGCTTCGAGCCCATTGAGAAGACCGTTCTCCGAACCTCACTAGGGAAAACCTCCGCCGTCATATCCGCATTCATCTGGGGAGTGACACTATGGGCAATTGGAAGACGCGCCACCCTATGCGCCATATTAGGAACCTGGGTTTCCGAGGTAAATAGAGCATGGTAAAAGCTGGTAGCAATATTAGCCTTCCCAGTTTCCTCAGTGACCCACCCCTCCTCATCATTTCGGAGTCCAGAAACAAAATTCCTTTTCCCCCGAGCCCGAGTGACCGTATGGAAATAGGCAGAGTTTTGATCACCTTTCTTTAACCATCGTACCCTGGACTTTTGCTGCCAATAAACCTCATCCCAGTCCACCGGATGGATCGAATTAATCCACTCAGTCTCCGCTGGAGAGTCTTGATATTTCGAAAGGAATTCGTAGTTCCCGCCCTGCTCCAATCATAAAGCAGATGACAGAGTTTCTTGAGGCGCTCCCAAAGTCGAAACATAGGGGTACCTTGAAGCTCCTCCTACAAGACATATTGGACCATAGCCCTTACTTCTGGATTATCCACCCAACGAGCATCAAATCGGAACTGAGGCCGACTACTCCAGGCGTAAGGTTTATCCGCGAGGAGAAGGGCACGATGATCCGAACCCTGGTCCGTAAAGTGCTTGACCAGAGTCTCTGGATAAATATCAATCCAGGACTGGGAACAAAGCGCCCAATCCAGATGTTAACGAATGCGCGCTGCACCCATACGCTTGTTCGTCCAAGTGAACTGATCCCCTTGGAAACCAGGGTCACGGAGCCCCAAATCATGGACAAAGTCTCAAAGACTAACGGCTTGTGCAGCATTCCAAGCCCGACCCCCATCTTTTTCACCCTCATGGAGAGTAGTGTTGAAATCACTTATGATCACATAAGGGTGATGGATATTCGCGCAAACATCTCTCAACTGAGCCAACTGAGTAGCTCGAACCGCAACATTACAGCTAACGTAAACAAAGATCACCACATAATAAAAATTACCTTCATTAATTTATGAACAAATATAGAAATTGGAATCACAAAACACTAAAGTGTCAACCCCGTGGGACCAAGCCACAACTAACCCGCCCGATGCATCGACTGCATCTACAAAGAAACAATGAGAAAGAGCAAAACCTAAACCCCGCATACGACGGAAAACTACTCGCCGACTCGATCGCATTTCAGAAAAGAACACGAGATCCGGTTTATTCGAATGAACAAGCCCTACAGTAGTTTGGAAAGTGAGGGATTGCCCAATTCCTCTCACATTCAAGGCCAGAAGCCTCATTTATCAGTTGGGGGCCACTCGAGGCTAGCTTCCTCCACCTTCTTCAGAACTTCTGTTGTTTCCACAAATTGCTTCTTCGGAGTTAGGGGGTCACCCACATCCCCATCCAACTCATCCAGCACGTGCTTCCGAGTCTCCACATTTGGGTCCATCAGATTAGGCCCATATTCATTGATGTTTGATATAGTATGTGAGCAGGCAGCTCCTCCCTTCCGCAGACGCGGGCGAACCCGGGGCACCGAACTCCCAATATGGGCTACACCCTTGGAGGGCAGACGAGGATCCTCCTGGGTCCTATGGGAGGGCTCATCAGAAGGGCCCGACGACTCACGAGCTTGCCTTGATTGAAGGGTATTCTCACCTGCATTCTCGTCCTCCTCAGACTCCTCCTGCAAAATCAGCCTTCGCCGCCGGGACTGGTCAAGAGCCATCTCTACCTGGTCTTCTACCTGCTGATGATGGGGCGCCTTTCTGGCACGTCTCCCCGCTTGCAGGCGACCCTTTGTACCTTGCTGAGGGACAACTGCAGCATTTCTGGGTGACACTTTCTTCTGATACGGGTGAACCCCACCACCAATCTTCACGCGAGGCGATGTCTTGAAGACAACCCTCCTCGGGCTAGCACGATTTCCTGCCGTCATAGGCTTGAGCTCCTGCAACCTAGATTGCATCTCCTTACTAACAGGGAACTCTGGTTCCCCTATCAGAGGATGATGTGCAGCCTGATCAACTGAGCAAGCAAGAGGCACTGGTCGGACTTCCATCTCACGAGCTCTAGCAGTCTTCGCACTCCCATCATTACATACTTGAGCAATTCTGTTCACCCACACTGACGTGCTTGCATTACGAAACTTCGGGAACTCCTCCTCATCCATGTAGATCTTCTTCCCTAGTTTCCTTATATACAT